ATACCAGAGAAAAATACACATTCTTGAGGAAATTTCAATTCCAGAGAAAATTTCAATCCATAATATTAAAATGCCAGAGAAATTTACATACACAACCAGAGAAAATTAACCATGATAGAGACACACAAGGGAGGAAAGTGGTGTGTTGTGGTCAGAGAAAATTATAAACGCCAGAGAAACTTAGACAGAGGCAAGAGAGTAATAGACATTCCAGAGAAAGATAGATATTCCAATTAAAAATACATATTACAGAGAAATTTACAGAGCAGGGAAATTTATAGACAAAATACAGAAACATGTTCAAGAATAAGATAAAAACATAGAAAATTGTTTTTTTCAAAATAAAGATGCCAGAGAAAATTGAAAGAAGAAACATACATCAAGCAAAAATCAGAGAAATTCAAATGCCAGAGAAATTTACAGATAAAATCACACAAACATGTTCAAGAATAAGTTCAAAACACACAGAAATAACTATTTCCAAATTCAGGTAGCTTTTTATTACGAAATTGAAACCCTAATTTATGGAAGGTTAATATAAAATGCTATTAACTTTGTTTCCAGAGAAAATCTAGTTGTATTGCAGAAAAACTTACCAGAGTTAGGATGAAACTTGAATGACGAGCTGATATGGCCTGAGATGAAGATGCGACGTGACGAAAATGGACTGAGATGACGATGAGCAGTGAAAACGAAGCTCTAACGAAGGTCAGAAAAATTTGTGAGGAAGGAATGGGAATGATTTTTGCAGAAGAGAACAAAGCTCTAATGTCGATGGTGAAGATGATGTTGAAACCATAATTTTGCTGTTCTGCTGTTCGTGAAGATGTTGGATGGTTGGAATGGAACTCAGACGTCGGAATGAGTTTCGTTTCTGTGTTGATTTCGGCAAGGGTATTTTGGTCCACAAAAATAATTAAAAATGCGCGCCAAGTTGTCCAAGGACCTGATGCATCACTATTTTTTTTGGGTGTCCTTTATCCTCTAAATTAGTATTATTAGGGAGCTGAAAAAAAATTCCCCTATATTTATTCGGTTTTCTATGATAAATTGTAAATCAATGGTAAAACCAAAAAAATTACAAAATGTTATAAAAAAATTTATGATTTTAATTATTAAAATTGATAAATTTTACCATTAATTTACAATTTATTTTGAAAATTTACCGCTGAATTGCAATTATTTATAATTTGTTCATTAATCACATCAATCAAACATCAACCTAGATAGCTGGCGCAAGAATCATCGCATCAATAAAAAAATCAAAACAAATATGAAAATTAGGAGTTGTTTGAAGTGTTCCAAATAAGTGCACTTTTTTACTTTTTAAACTAAAAAGTTGAGAAAAAAAATATGGTTGTTTGGGTTAACTTTTTAACTTTTTATGAAAAAATGTGTATTAAAAAATTGTATAAATTAGTGTGTAGAAGAAGATTAGAGGGTGAGTTGTACGGTTGTCATGTCTGCAAAGGCGGAATAGATGCTAAGAAGTAATTGTCTACTTTTTAGGCATTGCACTAGACGATACTGTTCAGCTCATGGGGGCCATCACGGGTCCCGTTTTGATAATCTGAATCATTGAATGTGTAGAACTCATCGAGTACTATATGCTTGTAAAAAATTACATTGATCGGATATCGATACCTATTTGATCATATTTGTTTTTTTTCCAACCGTTAATTATAACACATTTATTTTTTTTATACAAAACTGATTTGATTATGTAGTTATCGATATCCGATCAATGTGATTTTTTTACAGACATATAGTACTTGACGAGTTCTACACATTGACGGTTCAGATTATCAAAACGGGACCCGTGATGGCCCCCACGGGCAGAACAACAGCGTGTTAAAATTGCACCCCGACTGTGCAATTTTTGTTACACAACCCAGCACCGACCTGAGGCTGTCAGATTGATGTGTTGTAATTTTGTGTGTAAAATTAATTATTTAATATTTTTTTTGATGAATAGTGATAATTTTTTAACTTTTTGAATAATTTTTTGACTTTTTATCTTTTTTGTGACATGCCAAACTTGGCCTTAATGGTAAAATTAGTTGATATGTTCTCATTTCAGCCAGGGCGGCTCAGCATGAATTTAGGGTCATGGAATTAAAAATTTGACAGCACCAAATCCCCATAAATTTCACTCATAAAAGCATTTCGTTAATATTTTTTTACCGGGAAGCATTCATCGTTATAATATGAGTGAGAGAATTCTTATCAATAAAAAATTATTGGCTTAATATTTTTGTGGGAGAAATTTATTAGGTTTTTAATTTTAAAATAGTTTTATGAGTTTTTAATTTGTATTTTTAGTGATTTTTTAAAAATATTTTAATCATTTTTTTTTTTTACTTTTTTGATTCACTTTAATCTTGATATACTTAAAAGTATAAAATTTATATAAAAATCTTTAAAAAAAATTCATTGAATACAATAAAATACGAAAATATATTGAATTTTCGTATTTTTTGTATTTTTTATATTTGTGATTTTTTTTTAAAAAAAATTTACAAATATTATACTTTTTAAGTGTATTTAAATTAAATTATCTAAAAATTAAATAAAATATTAAAAATACCTACTAAAAATGAAAAAAAAAGTACGAAAAATAAAAAAAAAAAACTCAATTTTTAAGAAAACAATGTAAACCAAATAATCACATTAAAGATATCAATTTATCATTTAGATTTATTTCATCTGTGTGATTATTTCTAGAACTTTAAAATTTTTGTTAAATTAATTGTTTTATCAAATGAATGATTAATTATCTCATCTTGACTGTTTCTCCTCCTCTTATCCATTTGCATATGACAACACAACTTCATCAACTGGATAAGGCCTCTACAATTCAGCTTCAGGCCTCCACTTTCTAGAACCTCAACGTCGGATACTAATTCACGCTTCAGTATGTGCAAGGTCAATGCTATGCTACTTCACTTTCTAGAACTTCAATATCGGCCGACACATATATGCAAGGTCAATGCTACTTCACTTTCAAGAACTTCACTTCTCTAAGTAACTTTGATGAATTTTATTATTATTATTATTATTATTATTATTATTTAATGTAGATTCATACATTGCTATCTATAAAAAAAATAAAAAAATAAAAAATTATAAATCATACAAAAACTATTTTCAAAATGTACAACCAAATAAATTTTCAAACTCTTTAAAAAAAACTATCCTCCAAAATTGGTTTCTTCCACAATAATCAAATTTAACTGTTTTTTCTTTCCTTTTCTTCTCTTGTGATAATGCGAGGGAAAATAAGTTTTCAAATTGAGCAATTTCAACATTTATCAATTTTATCGGCTAATTAGACCCCGGTTGGCATGAGATAAACTTTTTGACTTTTTTTATTTTTATAAAAAAAAAAATTAAATGATTATGCACTACAAGAAATAACACTTTTGGCGACCAAATTTGGCAACTAAAAAAAATTTAGTCACCAAAAGTTGTGGAATTGGCGACCAAAAATTATATTAGTTGGCAAAAATACAAGATTTAGCTACTAATTTTTTTTAGTCGGGGTATATTGATTATTGACGACTAAAAAAATTTTTAGTCGGTAAAAATGCCACAATTGGTGACTAAAAAATTTTTCAGTCGCTGTAGAGTTAGTTTGGGCTACTAAATATTTTTACTCACCGATTGGAAAATAAAAATTTACTTTTTATCTTTGGGGACCAAAAGTTTGGTCGGCAAAAATTTATTTTTAGCGACTAAATATATACTTTAGTCGCTATATAATTAGTTTTGGCTACAAAATTTATTTAGTCACCGAATGAAAAAACAAAAATTTGGTAGCCAAAAATTTATTTTCAGTGACTAAATAAATTTTAGTCGTCATTTACTAACTTTTGCCGACTAAAAGAAATTTAGTCGCCAAATATCTAGTATAATTTCATTTTTAATCGTTGGTGACTACCTCATTTGGTTGGAAAATATACATTTTTGGTGACCAAAACACATTTAGTCGGCAATAAAACTCAATTTTTTTGGTGGGAACACTTACCGCCCAATTTGAGTTTATGTTTACTTATTATTGTTATTATTATTATTATTATTATTATTATTATTATTCTTTCTTATTTCTCTATATCTCAATTGAGATACATAAACCAAACACCAAGCACCAAACAGAGAGTCGCCTGCTCTCGCTCCCCGTCGCTTACCATTGCCTTGCTTCCCATCGACATTCAGGTCTCTCTCTCTCTCTCTCTCTCTCTTCCTTTATTTTCCCATTTGACTCTAGCTCTTCCTTCATTCCTTTATTTCCCATTTTACTCTTGCTCTAGGGTTTTTTTTTTGTTTTTTTTTTGATGCTATAGAATTTTCATTTTTGTGAATTGAGTAAATGAGTTTTGATTTTTGTTCTAGATTTAGGGTATTTCAAAACCCCTTTTATACTTTTTAAACCCTTGTAATTGTGTGTACACATATAAATATAGATATAGATATATTTCTGTATTGTGGGGAATATGTATAGGGATTTTATTTGTTTACATATGTGTATTTATGCAAAAGTTTTAGGAGCTTCAGAAATTGAAGGTAGTGGAATAATTAGAAAAATTAAATTTTTTTTTTTTTTTTTTTTTTTTGTGATTTTTTTTTTTTTTTGTGTGCTTGAATCTTGGATTTCGAGAGTGATTTGTGGAAAATGAGAATATATTGTTCCTATAAATTTTTCCCTTTACAAAATTGAGAATCAACCTCTTAAAGTAACAATTTATCTTCAGTGACAAAAGAACTTTTAGTCGTGTTATAAGAATTTTTGTCTACTAAATAATTTAGTCGCCAACCAAATAACATAATTTTTGCTTTTCTCTTTGGCGACCAAATATTTGGTCGGTAAATATTTATTTTTGGTAACTAAAATTATTTAGTTGGCAATATTTAAGGGTGGTTTGAGATGTTCTAAATAAGTGCACTTTTTTACTTTTTATCATAAAAAAAAATGTGTAGAAAAGTAAAGAGGAGATGTTGATAGATGTTGATTGATATGACCAAAATAAGTGTATGTATGCAAAAAAAAAAAAAATTGTATGTTTTTAGTCCATGCCAAACGTCTACTTAGCTACTAAAAAAATTTAGTCGCCTTTAACTGACTTTTACTGACAAAATTGTTTAGTCGGCAATTGTAATTAAAATTTTGGAGGGAGGATTTGAATTTTTAGAGGGTTCCTAAATTAATTGGTGACGGAACTATGTTTTGGTAGGGAAAAGGTTACTTTACTTGTTTTTGGCGACCAAAGCTATTAGTCAGGGAATTTTTTTTTTTTTTGCACAACGTCACCGTTTTATTTTAGGCTAACTTATCTTGGTAGGCTGGTGTGTCTCTATGATCACTGTGAATCTCTCTCTCTCACTCCTCTCCTCCTTCCAGGATCGCTCTCGCACCGTCATCACATCGTCGCACCGTCGTACCTCCGTCGATCCACCATTGGAGCATTATCCCAGGTATGTCTTTCGCCCTCTCTCTGTCTCTCTCTCTCTCGACCTTTTTCCATTCGCATACTTGTAAATCGACCCAGCCCCAAATCGTAGCCTAACGAGGTTGAGTCGCATAAGAACTTCCAATCCAGAGTTGCTATACCTGAATGCCCTGGTTGGGTTCACTGGATGCTCTTTCGTCAGGGTAACCTTCCTAGATTTTAAATGTTTGATTGTAGTCATTGAATCTGTAACCTCTCGTGCTTGGAGAGTTATGGATGTCTGGAGGCAATAGTCAGGTGAAACACAGCTTTTTCCACTTCGATTTTGGGATGTATTTAGAAGTTCTGTTAAATGCCAGTCAAGCTCTGCCTTGTCTATTTTCTTGGCCCTAATGTGCTTTGCCCTTATCTATTTTCGAAGCACATTTTTAGAAAATTGACTTGCTTTTATTTTATTATTTTCATTTTTCGTTTATCTATTTATTCTTTGACTTCAGAAATCCCAACAAACAGAGCTATGTTGTTTCTAATGATAGCTTTTTCTGTTCTTCCAACGATCTCATTCAAGCAAGTAGTTCTTCATATTCTTTTTGGCAAAAATTTACATGCTCATCTTCTTAATTGTTCCTGTGTGATGATCAGATTAACCTTGCCTTACATGGTGTTCTGTTCTTGTGCAGTGTGTACAATGTTTATAAGGGTGTTCAAGCAAGGAAAGGAAGCATGTTTCTGGCATTTGGGTTCCTTGTGGTGAGATATTTGTCTTAATCCAATCCTTAAAGCTTGATATCTTTTGTCAATTTTAAACATTTTGATCTCTATTGCACTATATCTAATTCATGGAGATCATAGTTGTAAACGTAACACTTTGGTCCCAACTCAACCATGTAGGTGTGAACAGGATTTGGCTATGGTTTGCCTTTTTTCCCTTGGTGACATTAGGAACACACTACAGGAAATTACACCTCTAGCCCACTGGTTTAGACTCATACTACAAATATCTATAGCTATATCAATCAGAGAGAGAGAGAGAGAGAGAGAGAGAGAGAGAGAGACTCATAACAAAATTTAGCTACTGCAGAGCTGGCTTGGTGCTAATTTGGTACCTGATCCATGATGGTACGTTGCTAATTTGCGATGAGGAGGTTCAGCTGATTTGGTGCAGAAAGAAGAAATATCTTTGGAGTTATAATGATTTTATATATGCATTTTTTGCTGTTGTTGTGATTGGGTTTTAGGGCATATTACTGATTAGCTGAGGAACTATTTGGAGCTAACTCTCCAAGGAATTTGTACATATGATAATTTGATAAATGCGTTTGTTTTTTGTTATTGGGTTTTAGGCCATATGACTGATGAGTTGAGGAATTTTTTGGAGCTAACTCTCCCAAAAGTTAAGGATAGAAAGAAGCCTAAATTCACAACTAACCTAAAGAGGTTGAGTTCAGTTCTTCAAATTTATTTTATTAGTGGTGTTATTGAATTTAATTTATATTGGTTATGTTTAAACTTGAGTTGGACTTCACTATACGATTCACAATTGTTGGTTCATATTAAATAATATTTAATTGTTTATTTGTGTTATGTTTTAATGTTAAAAACTTATTTATTTTATTTATTTATTGTTGACTTTTTTTTTGACTGAATTATTTATTATTGATTGATTCACTTATTTTTAGTATAATGGAACCAACCCAAATTACATTAAATTGGGTATTGTGCAATTTGATCCTTAATCTAAAAATTTAAAACTGATCAAAATTAAACTTATTTAAAGATGCGGAATTAAACCAATGTATTTGGTTTTAATTATTTACCAAGTATTGATGCTATGTTTTGGTGGTGCTTAATTTGAAGCAAAGATGACTAGTCAAAGTATATACACCACATTTAATGTTACCGTTTTTCTTCTTCTTTCATATTTTATTAGTGGTGTTATTGAATTTAATTTATATTGGTTATGTTTAAACTTGAGTTGGACTTCACTATATGATTCACAATTGTTGGTTCATATTAAATAATATTTAATTGTTTATTTGTGTTATGCTTTAATGTTAAAAACTTATTTATTTTATTTATTTATTGTTGACTTTTTTTTTTGACTGAATTATTTATTATTGATTGATTCACTTATTTTTAGTATAATGGAACCAACCCAAATTACATTAAATTGGGTATTGTGCAATTTGATCCTTAATCTAAAAATTTAAAACTGATCAAAATTAAACTTATTTAAAGATGCGGAATTAAACCAATGTATTTGGTTTTAATTATTTACCAAGTATTGATGCTATGTTTTGGTGGTGCTTAATTTTGAAGCAAAGATGACTAGTCAAAGTATATACACCACATTTAATGTTACCGTTTTTCTTCTTCTTTCATTGCCTTCTAGTTGGCTTTCTCATTTTTGGCCCATATCAACTTAAAATTATTTTTATTTTTTATTTTATTTTTTTGTTTGGGGTTTATGTGTTTGGAAATTGTATATTTTTGATATTGATCTCAATTGGACATGTATTGATTTGATTTTGTTTTTGTTTGATAAATGATTTGTTAAGCCTCAAGGAGATTACATAGAGCTTCACAAGAAGAGACATGGCTATCGCCATGATCACTTCAAGCGCAAACACAAGAAAGAGGCTTGCAAGGTTCACAAGCGATCTTAGCTTGCTCAGAAGGTTCAATTTCTCTACTTTTCTCTCTTCTGATTTATATATTTATGAAATTTTGTGTGGAAGTTCTAATTTTGTGCTTCAAATTCAAATGAGCAATCTTTGGGTATCAAGGGTAAGATATTTGCTAAAACATACTATGCTAAAAAGGCCCAAATGAAGTAAATGTGAGTGTCTTTCTTTCATTTTCATGGGTTTCATTTTATTTGAATAATTCCATACTTGTGAAAAATTGAGGACTGTTTTTGAGGTTTAGGACATGAGCCATTGCTACCTTGTTAGTTTGAGGTTTAGGACTCTTGAAAAATTAAGGACTGTTTGTGTGATTCCAATTTTCAAAAGCAGTTGAGAATTATCCAATTTTCCCCTATTACACATTTCTGAAGTCAATCATGTTATGATTTTAGTTATTCCATTAATTTACTTGAAAATTTTCTTAATATCTTTGTTTGTTTGTGTGTGTTTATAATATATATATATCGTAGTTGTCAAATTGTGAATCAAATTGTATATCTTGATATCCAAACACATCCATTGTGCTTTGCATATCTGCATATACAATAATTACTGGTGTTTGTAGATGGCCAAGGTAATGAACAAAAATGCTATCAACCATGAAAAATTATTTTGAATCTTAACCTAAAAGTAAGTGGTGTACATTTAAAGTTAGTGAGATGTAGGTCACGCCCACAATGAATATATACCATTGATTTCTTTTTCTTTTTTTTTTGTGTTTGATGTTTGAGGATCAAAACAAAGGTTAAAAGCCTTCCCAAAACAGCCCCTACTGCTACAAAATTCTGTCTTTCCCTTCCCTCTCTTGGTTTGCTTCATTACAAGAAATTGTCTTTACCTTCCCAAAACAACCCCTTAACGTTTTATCTGCATATGATGGTCCTCAAATCTTGATAGCTTGTTTACTAGCTAATGGAGAAGTAGACGTATTACAGATTGTAGGTAAATTTTTAATGATGAGTTATGAGTTGCATGATTGAACATTTTTGTGTTGGGTGTCTTAATTATTTTTACAAATTACCTAAGTGTCTCTTTGTAATCTTTACTATTCTCTTTGCAGAAAGATCTTGATATATATGAAATGAACGTTTGTGCTTTTATGGCTGATGAATCCAGTGGGCAAGATCCAAGCATACATAGCAGCTACCTTGGTGTTATTGAGATGGTAATTACTTATTTATTGAACTGAATACATTCTAAAAAATGCTACGAGCACCCACTCTTATAACAATTTCAAGTTATTAGGTTCTAGCAATTCGTTCCTTTTGACATTGGTAACTGATTATTGAATGACTAATAGATGCATAAATTAATATGGTGTAATTCTCTTCTTGGATGATTTGCTTATATAAACAAGTAGTCTTGTTCCTGACACTGAATACACATTTAGCCAACTTTGTCCAACTCTAGATGAGTGCTTGGGAAAACATAGGGATCTACTCTTTCAGGGCTTGGCTGAATGGGCACCAAAATCATTTTAGGATAGGATCACTGTAAGAGTTTCTAGGACATGTTTTGCTTACTTTCAGTTGAGCACTGTTATATTGGTGATCAAAATAGAGAATTGACTTTTACACATTTGTGGTTGGAGATCAGAAGAAACATAGTTAGCATGATTAATCCTAATAATAATTGTATTTGGTAGGGAAGAATATGGAAATTGTAGTAGGAAATCCAAATTGAAGAGAGCAATCTCAATTATAGCTGGTTAATTGTTGTTATGATGTTTGGAGTGACAGTTTTAATCTATCACTTTGGTAATATTAGCGAATTGAGGATGTTTCTTAAGCTGTATAGGTTTTGATCATAGAATTGTCACATGTTAATTTTATAAACTGTTTTAAATTTCTGGTTTTCAGTCTCCTTTCTTGTTAAGCTATCCTTGCTGGAAATTTTCTTATTACAGTCTTTGTTAACAATACTTGGTTTGAAGTAAACATTGACCACTTTAAGCCACATGCAAGATTGGGAAACCATGTGGCTTCTTGTTTCACTGCTGAGGCTATCTGTGTGTCATTGGTTTGGATACCTGATGTGCTTTGCTACATATTCTTTTTTATTGATTTTTGTTCTTTGAATCACAAATACAATGTGCCTTTATTGACTTGTTTTGCAAGATCAGTGAATATTTCTAGACATCTATTTCCTTTTAGGGTGGCTGAGTTCACCTGATTTTTTTTTGAGGATTTGGAATACCACACATTGATCAATCAAATAGAAATTCAATACCTAGAGATTTGGACAAAAAAATTTGAGAAAAAGGCGAACATAGGCCGTTTGGGGGCAAAAAATGGAAACAGCCCCGAGATCATCATGGTCACCTCGGAATAGATTAAACAAACATGTGAGAGCAAGTGGCATGTTGATAGGACGCACAGTTAGAGATTTAGACAAACAAATGTGAGAGAAAAAACAAATGTGAGAGAAAAAGGCAAAAACGGGCCGTTTGGGGGCAAACATTGGAAACAGCCATCAAACAGCCCCAAGATCATAATGGTCACCTCAGCCTAGATTAAAAAAACTTGTGAGAGTAAGCGGCGCATCGATAGGACACATGGTTAGAGATTTAGACAAAAAAATGTGAGAGAAAAAGGCGAAAACGGGCCGTTTGGGGCCAAAATTGGAAACTGCCCCAAAATTGTCCCAAGATCATTATGGTCACCTCAGCCTGGATTAAACAAACTTGTAAGATTAAGCGGCATAGATTAAACAAACTTGTGAGAGCAAATGGCATGTCAATAGGACGCACGGTTAGAGATTTAGACAAACAAATGTAAGAGAAAAAGGCAAAAATGGGCCGTTTAGGGGGCGAACATTGGAAACAATCCCGAGATCATAATGGTCACCTTGGCCTAGATTAAAAAAACTTGTGAGAGCAAGCGGTGCATCGATAGGACATACGGTTAGAGATTTAGACAAAAAAAAAATTGTAAGAGAAAAAGGCGAAAACGGGCCGTTTGGGGGCGAAAATTGTAAACTGCCCCAAAATCATCCCGAGATTATTATGGTCACCTCAGCCTAGATTAAACAAACTTGTGAGAGCAAGCGGCGCATCGACAGGACACACGGTTAGAGATTTAGAAGAAAAAAAAATGTGAGAAAAAGGCAAAAATGGGCTGTTTGGGAGCAAAAATTGGAAACAGTCCCCAAACCGTCCCGAGATCATAACAATCACCTCCGCCTCGATTAAAAAAACTTGTGAGAGCAAGTGGTGCATCCATAGGACACACGGTTAGAGATTTAGACAAAACAATGTAAGAGAAAATGGCAAAAACGGGCTGTATGGGGGTGAAAATTTGAAACAACCCCCAAACAATCCCGAGATCATTACAGTCACATCGGCCTAGATTAAATAAACTTGTGAGAGCAACAAAGCACCACCTTTTTGAAATAGTTCCTGAAATAGTAACAAAAATATACATTTCTGTAAAGAACAATAAAAAGAAGCCTTATTTGAGTAAATACCACAAATGAAAAAGTCCGGGAATGAGGCTAATGCGGTTGGTATTAAAACTAGACGCCAAACAACATTGGAAATGATGATATTGATAGAATTGTAATGTTGATTGGATACATACATATGAATGTTGTTTTATTTACAAAATGGTATTGATAGTCATTTAATTTGTTCATGTTACCTTTTCTTTCCATTGGCATTTTTCATTTTTTGTCCAATTTAATAATCATTTGATGTGCAAATATTTTCATAAAAAAATTACCTGACTATTGCTCTTTTTCTTTGGTACAGATGGATGAATTCGTGCACAAAGCTGAATTGTACAGGACTAGTTGGCACTTGTTATATTTTTTGAAGGATTATGTATTTTTGGATAGATGTGTATGGAAAATATTTGGATAGACTACTAGTTATATTTTTGGATGATTATATAGATTACATGACTTTTAATTGGACGATTATGTAGTTTGGAATTACTTGTGGATGAAAACTTATAATAGTTGATGACTTCAATTAAACATGTTAAGGATTTGATGATTTATGTATTTTGTTGGATGTTCGTGGTTCCGCAGATTTTGTTGGTTTGAATGATTCTTGCCAATTATAGGTTATATTGAATGGATTTGATGGATTATTATATTTTGATAAACAAAAAGAATTGAATTGGCGACCAAAAATTGGTTTTGTTTTTTCTCTTTTGGCAACCAAGTGATTAGTCGGGAAAGGTAAATAATACTTTTGCTGACTAAAGTTGTTAGTCGGTGTATGACCACTCACATTTGGCGACCAAAATGTTAGTAGGCAAAATGATACATTTGGCAACTAAATAATTAGTCGGTACATTATTTAATTTTGGCAACCAAAGGGTTTGGTCGCAAATAGGTCTGTTTCCAACTAAAGTTTTAGTCACGCAAACATTACTTTTGGTGACTAACAGATTTGGTCGAGGAATGTTACTTTTGGCGATTAACATGCTTGGTCGAAGAATGGTACAATTAGCGACTAACATATTTAGTTGGGAAAATATCACTTTTGACGATTAAAGTGTTCTAGCTATAAAATGATTTAGTTGTAGTAAATATATATTTAGCAATTAAAAATTTAGTCGACAAATAGACCAGTTTCCTGACTAAAAAAATTTTTAGTCGCTAATTATTTTTCCTGTCCCTTCATTGGTGACCAAAGTGGCGACTAAAAAATTTAGTCGCGGAAAACTTTTGCCGACTAAAGTTTTGGTCGGCAAAAGTGCAATTTCCTGTAATGATGGTTTGGATGTAACATTTTATCTTATTAAATTAAAAAGCTTATTTTATCTTTTTGTGACTATTTTAACAAAAAATCTCATTTTAACTTATGTCAAAGGAAGGCATGGTATGCGTATGTGTGCAAACACGTCATGATTAAAGGTATCCAAAAAAATTACCAAAATTCTATATTATTAAAAATATATGCACCCAAATATTATTAAATGACCAAGTATCATTATTTTGTTTGACCACCAATCATATTTGTTCTTTTACATTTTTAATAATAAGTATCATAGAATTGTTCAAGAAAGTATTTATGTTTCTAGATATGGCCACAAAAAAAAAAAAAAAAAAAAAAAAAAAAAAAGAAAAAAAAAAAGAGAAAATTACTCCAATAGTCCCTACATTTACTTTTTGTGTCATTTTGATCCTTACATTTTCAAAAGGACAATTATCTGTTAAAATTAACGTATTTGTCTGTCTATTAAAATCACTCTGTCTTAAAATTACCCAATTTGTCTATTTGTTAAAATTCACCAAACTACATATATGTTAAAATGTGACACATGTCACTCATTCAACACCATATCTATTCAAAATTACACATTTCTCTATCTCACCACCACCACCTGTCGATTTTTTTTTTTTTTCTTCTTTTTTCCCTAGTTTTGCAGAACGAAGAAGAAGAAGAAGGGAGAAGAAGAGAAGGGAGGAGGAGGAGGAGGAGGAGGAAGGAGGGAGGAGAACTGCGGCGGGGCTGCGACGGCACGATCGGGCACGCGGATGGGCTGGGCAGACGACCGGGGCTGGGTAGAGGCAGACGATCGGCGAGCTGCGACGAGGACGGCGGAGGCGACGAGCCCTCACCTCTCTCTTTCTCCGTCTCTCCTCCTCTTCCCCTCTCTTCTCTTTCGAGCCAAAATTCGAGCCAATTTGTCGAGCTCTCAACCATTTTCCATTAAAAATTTAGCCGACAAATAGACCAGTTTCCCGACTAAAAAAATTTTTTGTCGCTAATTATTTTTCCCGTCCCTTCATTGGTGACCAAAGTGGTGACTAAAAAATTTAGTTGCGGAAAACTTTTGCCGACTAAAAATGGACTTTTGCCGACTAAAGTTTTGGTCGGCAAAAGTGCAATTTCCTATAATGATGGCTTGGATGTGACATTTTATCTTATTAAATTAAAAAGCTTATTTTATCTTCTTGTGACTATTTTAACCAAAAAATTTCATTTTAACTTATGTCAAAGGAAGGGATGGTATGCGTATGTGTGCAAACACATCATGATTAAAGGTATCCAAAAAAATTACCAAAATTCTATATTATTAAAAATATATGCACCCAAATATTATTAAATGGCCAAGTATCATTATTTTGTTTGACCACCAATCATATTTGTTCTCTTACATTTTTAATAATAAGTATCATAGAATTGTTCAAGAAAGTATTTATGTTTCTAGATATGGCCACAAAAAAAAAAAAGAAAAAAGAAAAAAAAGAAGAGAAAATTACTCCAATAGTCCCTACATTTACTTTTTGTGTCATTTTGATCCCTACATTTTCAAAAGGACAATTATCTGTTAAAATTAACGTATTTGTCTGTCTATTAAAATCACTCTATGTCTTGAAATTACCCAATTTGTCTATTTGTTAAAATTCACCAAACTTATTTTCCTATCTGTTGAAATTCAACAAACTACATATATGTTAAAATGTGACACGTGTCACTCATTCAATACCATATCTATTCAAAACTACACATTTCTCTATCTCACCACCACCACTACTTGCTGCCGCTGGTCACCGCCGCTGTAGACGACTTTTTCGGCGCTAGCAAAATTTTGCAGTGATTTTTTCGACACTTTTCCGACTTGTTCTTATCACCAAATAAGATTTTACTTAAAATCTAATGTCTTATACCATCTTTAAATTGGATTTTTCACTAATTTTCTCTTTAATCATATATATTTTCTTAAAAAATATTCATTTTTTTCACAAATTTAAAAGATTTTAACTAGGTTTTTTAATCATATATATTTTCTTAAAAAATATTCATTTTTTTCACAAATTTAAAAGATTTTAACTAGGTTTTATAAATGAAGTCTTTAAATTGTTGAAAAAAATAATAAATTTAAAAAGAGAGGTGATTTTCTGAGATCTCTGGAATAGTGAAAATAGACAACAAATATGAAAATTAGGGGTTGTTTGGGATAACCTAAATAAGTACACTTTTTATTTTTTTACGAAAAGATGTGCAGAAAGTAGAGAGGTGATGTGATGAAAAAAAAGATAAAAAAATAAAAAAATGAATTATTTTGTAGTAGCCAAACTTGACCTTAGTGAAATGGGTTCATATGTTGTCATTTCAACAAGGGCGGCTCAGAATATTTGTGGTTGTAGGCTCATATTCGTTTGGACGGCTAGGACCATGAAATTATATGGGGAAATTATATTTCAGCCCATTTTCTTAAAAATAATTATAAAATTATTAAAAAGTTTATAATTTTAATTATTAATATTTATAAAGCTTATTATTCATTTGTAATTAATTTTTTCAAAAATCACTGATTTGATATTTCCCCAAATTAAATTAATAGTAGTACAATTATTTTAAAAAAGTTATTCTTAATTTTATTTAACAATATCAATTTATGAGTAATTTATTTTTCCATATTTAGACGCACATTATATCAATTCAATATTTAACACGCAATCATGTTAGAAAAATTTGAGTGATTATTTTTGAAACTGTAACATTTTTGTTAAATTAATTATTTTATCAAATGAATAATTAATTTAATGAGTATATGAGTGTTACATTGAAAATATTAATGTGTTAAGTGAATATTTTATAATTTAAAATATTGAGAAAATTATTATTCAAGTGAAGTTTTGAAACATTATTAAACAATAGTGAAAAATTTTAATTATTAATATTTGTAAAATTTATCAACATTTTATGAGAAAAACAAAAATTTACGACACACCACTGATGTGTAATTGCCCATAGAATATGTGTGGTCTTGCCCATCACACTCTTGTCTCTTTCTTGTGCAACACGAAAACGATCTCACCTTCCTCCTTTTTCTCTCTCTCTTCCTCTTATCCATTAATTGGGTTATTTATCACAATTTTAAAAAGTGATTATAATTTATTTTAATTTAAAGATATTGTTGGTTTATTTTCTAAGTATAATTTATTGGATAAAAATAATTTAAATAAATCAAAAAAAATTCCAATTTTTTTAAAATTAAAAAAGAAAATATTTTTAACTTCCACTTTTTAATTACCAATTTTAAACATTAAAAAATTCTACCAAACCGATATAAGCTTGTTATTGGTGGCCATCCATTTACCATGTGACAACATATAATATGAGTTGAGATTCTCTCCTCGAGCTCTCTCCTTGTCACCCAATTTGTAATGGTAATGATGTATCGTGAGTTGATCCAACGGTTTAGATTTACCTATTTAAAAATAATAAAAAAATAAAACAAATTCAAATTTGTTTTTGCAATCCAAATATGAACCGTTGGATCAATTTACTATGCATCTCCACTGTTATAAGTAAAGAGGCAAGAAGAGATTTCAAAAAGAGAATCTCAACTCGTATCAAGCAGCTACAATTCAGGCCTCCACTTTCTAGAACTTCAACACATTTTTAGATTATCTAAATAAGTGTACTTTTTTACTTTTTATGAAAAAATATAGATAAAAATAAAGAGATGGTATAACTTAAAAAAGATAAAAAAATAAAAAAAAAATACTTATATAACACAAATAAACTATAATAAAATATATATAATTAAAAAATTAAAAAAATTAACTTTTCACGAACTTTTCAAAAAAGGAAAGTCAGACGAGCACTTGTATGCTGGCTTTGAAAAATGAGTGAGAATATTAATTAGTGCTATCATTAATAATGTGACAGTAGATCCCACCCACTGCCACAGTGCTATTGTGTCTATTTTTTTTTTTTAACTGAATACCAACTCATTAGTGCTTTTTTAAAACATCACTTTTAATAATCTCTATCATTGCTGGTTGGCTTTTTAGGGGATGTGCTGTCACTGACATTCGTACTGTTTTGCGTTTGATTCGTTTGTCAATCCCAAAAAAAAAAAAATGTTGTGAGCCACGTGTTGCAAATAGGTTAGATGGAAAAAAATGAATGTAATACACATATTAAAAAAACAACAATGATTCATCTCCCTTTTCCTCCCACCCCCTTTGACCCCCTCTCTCTCTCATTGGTTACATTTTCTTTTTCTTTTTCTTTTTTTTCCTGCTCCTCCAATCACCACCCGTCACGTGGTAAAG